ACATCTTGAGTGCTGGAAGAGGTTTGTGTATTGCCAAAACCTGGTGGGATAAAAGCTAGTCTTGGCTGAAAGTTAGCTTGTTGAAAACCACCCTGAAATGGTGGTCTTGGAGCAAATTTGTTCTGCTGGTTGAAAGGAACAAAAGGTTTGGTTCCTTGGTTTTGTTGAGCAGCTTGTGATGGATAGACTTGATCCTGAGGGTTAGACACGTTGGTGCTTCTATAAGAGAAGTTGGGATGGTTCATGTAGTTGTAAAAACCGCCTCCTTGTTGATTCATGTAGAAGGCTTCTTCTTCTACAACTGTCTCATATTCCTCTTGTGTAGCAACACTATCACCAACAAAATTGACATTCTTGAAAGACACACTCAGCAGCTTGTCTAACTTGTCATTCAAAGCTTTAATCTCCTTCTTTGTTGTGCTCTCACTTTCAGCGCTTACAACAGCTCTAGATGTTCTGTCATATTCTTAACCATAGTTTCCATCAGAAAGCGCCAAGTTCTCCACAAGAGCTAGACCATCTACAACAGTATTGCCCATGAAATTTCAATTGGAAGCTGTGTCCAAGAGCATTTTGTACTTTGGCGTCACTCCTCTATACAAAGTAGACAGCAAGCTTTCATTTGTGAAGCCGTGGTGTGGGAACTGCAAAGTGTAAGACTTGAAACGCTCCCATGCTTCAGCAAATGTTTCATTCCCATGCTGAGTAAAGCTGCTTATGGTGTTCCTGACCTTTACTGTTCTTGTTGAGCTGAAGAATTTGTTGAGTAATGCTCTCTTGCACTCATTACATGTAGAGATTGATCCTTCTGGAAGTGTCTTCTCCCACTGATGTGCTTTCTCACCTAAACTGAAAGCGAACAAGCGAACAAGCGAAGCTTCAAAGCATCTTCGGAGACTCCTTGAATCTTGGTTATACCACACACCTTATCAAACTGGTCAAGATTATCCAAAGGGTCTTCATTGGGCAGGCTATGGAATCTGTTGCCTTGCACCATGTTGATCAACCCAAGCTTGATCTCGAAGTGGTTTTGATGTACAGTTGGAGCGTGAATGCCATTCTTGTTGTGGTGAGTATCTGGCGCATCACTAGCTCCTATTGGTCTTGCAGCTTTAGGTGCGTGAACTGGTACTCGCAATCCCTGAACTCCAGCCACTTGGTTCAAAGCTTGTTGTGTTTCATCTATGTGTGCTGCAGCTTTTTGTAATGGTGCTTGTCCAACAACACCAACATGTGGTAACTGAGCTTCTTGCTCCGTCATTCTCTGTTCTTCTAACTCTTGAACTCTCTATCTTACAGCTCTTCTCCAATGAATGTTGTCACTGAAAGGAGTCCGATTTGATGAGCCTTTAGACCTCAAATTCATACAAGTACCTGAAAAAACAGAGCACGAAAAACAGAGCAATTTAGTAACTTTTAAAGTAAAGAACTTAGTCTAACAGCAGTGTTAAACTCAAACAATCCACAAATGGCAACGGCGCCAATTTGAAACAGACTTTTTTGGGTCTAAACTCAAATGTCCTTATCCTCTAATCAGTTGTAGAATAGAGATCAGGTATCAATCCAATTGTGGGAGATGAGATGCAAACAATGCTGTAAGCTAAGCAGGATTGGGGATTTGGTTATGTAAGAACAAGTCTAACAACCTAATGGTGCAAGAAAACAAAAGCATAAACTAAATGCAAGTGAACAGAACTAAAAAATGAACTTAAAGCAATGACTAAACAAGAACTAAGCAAGAAGTGGCTACTAAAACAAGAACTAAGCAAGACGACTTTGAAGACAATTAATTAAAAGCAAGACTCAAGGTTTTAAGCAATTGTGGGACAGTGGTTTTCAAGAGTGACAAGGGGATTCCTACTAAGGCATTCAACAAGCATTAACAAGCAAGCAATTCTCAATGTTATGCTCCTAGACAAGGTATCTAAAGGGAACCACTTGGCGTCAATAAGCAATTCATATTCAACAAGATCGAAGTGTCAGACCCACTTGTGATGGTGTATCCTTCAACCATGAGCATAAAGATCAGAACCATTCTAGCCTAAGAGATGCACCAATTAAGCAACTACTCTCTCACCCAAGCAAGAATTCAGATCAACTTATCAATCTTGTGAACCAATAAGGACCTAAGCAGCTATACACCAATCAAGATTATGGATTTAACCACAAACTTGCAACATCCTAACAAAGCTAAGCAATGAACAAGAATGAAGCAAAGGCAAGATCTTTCCTTCTAGCCCTAAGCGAATCATCTAGCCTTTGCTTCATTCTTGTCCTAAGCAAATCAAGAATCTCAAAACCAGCATTATCTAGCCCTAAGCGAATCATCTAGCAAGGGGAACTATCACTTTGGTGTCACTAAACAAAGGAAACATGGACCAAGCTAGACTATCAAGCCAAATAAGTGATCCATGCTTAGAAAATAGATATCAAGACATAAAGCAAACCATATGCATCTATCAAACTATATTCAATCAAAAAGAGCAAGCTTTATCAACATTAATCACTTTGCAAGAGAAGGAGATAACAGAGAACCATTAAACAGACCTAATCACCCCTTAATCACATCTTAATCACCACTTTTCCTACTTAGAATCCTAAATCTAAAGAAGACTACTCACTAATCATGTTTAATCCCATTGATTTGGAGTTAAACACAACTAGATGAGGTTAAAATGCAAAGATGATAAGTCTGCTCAATGCAGACCAACGGCTTGGAATCCTCATGCTGATCCTTTTCCTCTCGTCCTGCTGCTTGCATCGAGCATACTCCATGGGTGTTCTGCTCGATATGCTTGCTCAATATGGACCAGACTTTGCAAGAACTCCATTTCTGACATCTCCTGCGATCATGAGCTGCTTCCATCCCTTCCCCAGCTCTAAAAAATTCCAAAAACACCTAAAAACCACCACAAACATGCATATGTATGCAAATGTATGCAATCATAAGCTAAATGCATGCTATGTTGATTCTAAGTACAAATGATGCCTAAATGCTAAACTATAATGCAAAAACAGAGAAAAAAAACATGAAATACAGCCTAAAATGATCTAAAATAGCAAGCTATCAACCTTCACCATATTCCATCATTCTCTCTTTCTTCTTTCTTTTTTTATTTCTTTTTATTTTTTTTAAAAAAATTAAAACTGAAAAAAAGAGTGAAATAAATAAACAATTATACCATATCTAAAAACGTAATGACAAGAAAAACTTTGTTATATCTATAATGTGAAAGAGAAAATAGCTGTGGATAAATAAATGGTCATCGAGTGGTATTTCCCTAATATAAAAATAAAGAAGAATGATCAAAGTCAAGTAAAATTGAAAAATTTCACTTATTTTCTATCAAGATTTGTAAATTTTTATTCAGTTTAAATTTGGCTTTTCTAGTTAAATCGCATAATTAGATTATATAAAATAAATATTATTATAAATAAAAGGTAAAATATGAAAATTTTAATATGTGTATTATTTGGTATTTTGCCAAAGCATATTAGAGTATATGTTTTTATGATTGCAATTTTTTTGAAGGTTATCTGCGAAAGCATGCAAAATATATTAACCCGATGAAAAACAGGTTAAATAAATGTGTAATTGAATTCATTGAAAATATACGTAAAATAATATAATCTGATTGATTACTTAAAAAAAATTGACATTAGACTAACTCACGACATTGAGAGAAAATTTGCGTAATCGCGTTTTTGACAGACTGTTTTTGGAATCACATTTTTTGTAATTTTTTTTGGCAGAAATATTTACAATTCAAAATTTTTTGTGTGAAATTTGCAGAATCAGATTTTTGGAGGAAAATTTCTTAATTTTTATTATCATTTCATCAAAAGTTTATATTATATTTGAATATATTTTTATTATATAGCGAGAATTAGAAAACAGAAGTGTGACTAAATATGATGGAATGAAAAAAAAAACTATAATAAAATAAAACAAATATGAATAAAAAGTGTAAGCCAAAAAAGATGAAAAATAAAGAACAATCGGTTTTTTGTGTTTTTGTTATTCTTTAAAATATTTTAAGTTTTGCATATATTTTGTTTTTCACTATATATCTAATTTCTTAAACCTATTAAAATATGTTTTCACAAACTAAATTTTTTTACAAATATATTATTGAACTATTTATTATAAATGATAAACATTACTCCTTATGTTTCTAAATGAAGAATGTTTTAGAACTTTCACAAATATTATGAACACAAATTAAAATTTAACTATAAATGCATCTTTTCTGTAATTAACAGTTTCCTACAATTTATAACTAATAATAATTCAATAATTATAATTATTTTTCTTAAAATTTTACAATTCACCATTATTAGCTAACAAAAAAATGTATTGAAAATAGAAGAAGCAATTTTTTTTTCTAAAACATCATTCTTTAATAAAGAGAAAGAATATTATTTAATATTATTATTTATTAGTTTTTATTAAAATTCTCAGTACGACACATAAGTACAGACCAACCATCTAGATATACAATATTTTATAATCAAATTTTTACATTTAAACTTATATAGCACATGGTTTTTACGATCGAATATTATATTTATCACGCTCTGTGCACAACAACGCTATCCAAACCTCTAAACAAACGAATATAGTTGCATCTAAATACACCATCAAGTAAAACCCAAAATTAGATACATCCACATAAACAAACGAGTACGACCAACGAATGTGTTGCTCATTACTATAAAGTATCCATCCAACCATTAGAGTCTATCATATGTCCAACGAATGTGTTGCTCATTATAGTCATGGACATCCTACCTGGACCCGACAAATCCGAGCTGACTCGACCCGAAAAATCTGTTTGGTTTGGTTTTGGTTCTCTTCAAATAGCCGATTGGATTTTGATCAATTTTAATTCGGATATCAGTTCGGGTAAAACCGGAAACCCGATCAGTTACCCAAACAAACCAGAAAAAACCACAAAATTGATTTTTCTTAACCTAATAAAAAAAACAAAAAAAAAACCTAATTTAAAAACAAAATTATAAAGTATAAAGTATCCGACCATTAGAGGCTTTCAACTTTGATTTGCGATATGGCTTAATTACTTTTGTTATTGATTTCATTGAGATATATATATATAAACTTAATACACAAAACATCCAAATGTCAATCTATACATATAACTTAGTAACAGAAGAATCACCACAAACCAAGATCAAAAGATGGTGCATCTTTCTCCACACTATCACTCCTATGATTGCCCGGATGAGGTATAACCGTTGCATCTTCCTTCTCTTTTGCCTCTGTCCTCTGTTTTGACAATAATAATGTCGCCTGCGCTTCCATGGCATCAAAGTCTAGTGTCGCGTAGAATGCATCATCGTCATCATCATCATCATTGTACTCCAATGCACCTCCATTGCTTCTCACACCTTCATGGGTTTCCTTCTCTATGGTTTGTTCATGAGCTGCAAACTTGTTTTCTAAGTTAATCACTGGGACATTCCCGAAGTTGCATAAGCTGAACTTCCTTTTCCGGCTATCTTCTGAGATTTGTACTACCGATAAGTCTCCTGTGACCATTGCATCCTTGTCTGACTCAGAGTTTGTTGTCTGTGGTGTTCTAAGAGAAGATAATGAGTTATCTGAATCGCTTCTGCTCTCATTTATTGTCTTCAAGGGGCCAGAAGAATATGGACTCGGCCTTGATCCGGGTACATCACGAAATCTCGCCGGCAATGGTGATTGGCTGAGTAGAGAGCGTCTGTGGAAGGATACATTGAGATTTTTAGTAAGCTCATTGACCATTTTACTCACAATAGAAGAAAGTTATCTTTGATTCTATATACCTGTAAATGGCCATCATGTCTACTTTACCAGACTCGGCTTGAGTATTTGCTGTTGGCATTGTCCCGTCATCTATGAAACTATCGTCGAATGAATCGTTGGTCAAATTTTCGTTCTCATCAGCAGACATTTCTGCTTCCGAAGAGACCCTGTTCCAAAATAGTGATGTTATACATAAACTCTGTATTCAGGAAAACTACTATTGTTATGTTGTCTCTCCTTGTTTTGTGTAAGTAAGAAAGACCATTCAGATGTTGATATTTAGATTGGATAAGAACTTACTCAGCTTCCGCATCAATGAAGATTCGCGCATCATTATCCACGCTCTTCTTCCTCTTACCTTTAAACACACAGAGAAACCAAGCAGCAATCACTCAAACAGGTCAATGTGACAAGTATTTCAACTCTTTCAGCACATCAGGACTTTTACTGACGCAGAGTTGTCATTATTTTAAATTGAAACTTTGCTTCCTGTCACTAATGCAAAAGCAACAGAATAAGTGTAAAATCCAACTCTCAGCACTTTTCCACTTCAGTTTGACAACGGCAACATTCTATTTTAGTTACGCCTAGAATAGACTCAGATGACTATAGCAAATTCTTATGGATGCCGAATAAACCAAACCAATTGGTATAAATTTTCCTGGAGAGATTCTGGTGATGTTATGCAACATCAGGACCCATAAATTTCGGTCATTGTCAAATCTCAAGTTATTTGAATGTCGTAGTACAAGGAAACATAGAAGCAGTTACCTCTAATGTGCTTATCACTGCGAGAACGAGATCTGATATGGTCTGCCTTTGCAATACCAGGATTGTTCTCCTTTATAGCACTCGAGCAATCTCCAAGTCTACGTAGTCTCTTCAACTTGCGTGGTTGTCGAAGAGATTCTGACTTTTCTCCGGAACTCACCCGCCAATTAGCGCTGCTGTTTGTGTTTGTGAGATTTGCCAAGGGAGTTCTCCACTCCTCATGAATGGGTGAAGCAGCTAAGCATTCTGTTCCGTTGGCCAAACTTTCCTCCTTCTGAGGAGTTGTGAATTCATTGTTCGTAGAAGTAATGTGAGCACCGCTGCATTTATGTTGAACGTTTGCCTCAGGGCTAGAAGGCACTTCTGCCAATTCATTACTGAACCTCATGGGAGAAGAAATCTTAGGAAAATCAAGGTCTTCTTCTCTATTCGCTTCATTTGCAATTCCTGCAGCGTTAAAGATGTTATCAGAACTATGATAAGTTCAAAGTCTTTCTTTGCACTAATGGTGGATTCAAATGTAGTATCAGCACTAAGAAAATTGGATAAGAAAAGCATTATAGATGCATCAAAGTAAAAATGTGTTTTCATTGTTTTCCGAGTCATGTTCTCGTTGAAGTTACTATCACCAGAAATAAGAAAATAAGTAGTACTGTAGTATACCTTAATAACAACAGTCCTCCAAAATTCTCTTATTCATATGAATAAAATGTATCTGTAGAAGTTATCTTATACCAAGGTTATGTGGTTGCAGCCAATTGCATATTTTGTGGCTCAATAGCAGATGTAAATACACTCAAGTAGATATGCTATTCATCTATTCTTATCTTGTTATATATCTTCTACCCCATAGTAAATGTTCAAGAGATAGCACTAACCTTGGTCATAGACAGGTGAATCTGGAACAACACCACTCTTGATGAAGTTAGTGAGCCTTGGACTAAGCTCCAAGTCCTCACAGCCATCTTCATCTGATGATAACATAATTTCTCCAACACAGTTATCGACATCTCCTTTTTCTACACCATTAGAATGCCTTTCCACAAGGCTTTGAGTCTCTAGTGAGAATCCTTGCTTTAAGTTGCACGAAATATTATCTTGCCGATGTTTTGTGGAAGCATCTATCCGAACAAAGTCAATGTGGGATCTCTTCGGGGAAGAATGTTGTTTTTCTGTTTCAGCCAAACGCATATAGTCTGACCCTGGTACATTAGAAGAGAAAAAAATAGGAATCGGCATTACGAAGACCTTCCCTAGAGTATCAACGGATGCACATTCTGAGCTGAAAAGATAATTGTGCGTGGGTGAAGATTCTTCGAAATCTTTCTCTGTTGCTTCTAACGTGCTTGTGGGAGATTCAACAACTTGTTTTGCCTTTCTCTGTGATGTGTTGGCTTCCAAATCACCGAAAGAGGGTAAATCTGCACATAAATACAATAAAATGGCTGTATTTCAGCACTATGATGATTGATGAAAGGATTGAATTTGAGAAGGATTAAACGCAGAAGATACATGAAAAATTAGCAATTCAGCTATTTTTTGACGCATGAACTCTAGCCTGAAGTAAGATAGAAATAACATCTAAGATAGCGAACTGCAGCTTCACGCGTTAAAGTGCTGTTATTAGTCCCACACTAACAAGACCATAATTATTTGATTGAAGTCTACTCGATAAATTAGTGACAATATCAGTTGGGTTTGTGAGAAGTGACATGGATCTATCTAGAATATGGTCAAACTATATCCAAGGCCATTTAGAAACACACTACCTAAACAAAGAAGGGAGCACATCCAAAAGAGGGCTCTTTTGGACATTGTTACCGTATATATTGATTAATAGCCTAAATAATTTCCTACTAGCTAATAGCTTATAAGTCTATAGACCTCCTACTTTCTGTTTTTTAAGAGTAAATTATATCCATATGACTGTTAGAATTGGTACTTAAGCAAGATGAATGAGACTATATTTACCTTTCGGATCATCACGAACCCTCAGACCCGTGTCAAACTCCTCTCTTTCACCCACAGGAGCTCCAAACTATTAGAGCAAGTGATTCCACGTAAGCGAAAATGAACTCACGTATAGCAAGGAAAGACCACACTATATATCAGAATTATGAACTCACCTCAGTGAAGAAACTTTTACTTTCCTCTGAAAAAGTTGTATCTTGCAAATGCTGCATAGCATCAATTAACATGCTCGTTTGACGTGAATGCAATACTTTGTGCACTTTAGATGGCAATGTCTGGAAGTGAGGGAACGCGATCAAGGACACTCTCAACTTTTCCTCACTGGGTACGTAATACTTGGCGAGCATATCTGTCTCTGCAAGTGTAAGCTTTTTCTTGAAAGCTGGAGTCTCAATGGCAGGTTCATCTTGTAATTTCTTTCCACGTGGAATGAATTGCTCGATTGAAAACTTAACATGCTGAACTTCAGGTTTATAAACATGGGGAATCTATAATAACATATGAGAAGGGTATATGAAGTTAAAAAGAAGTTTAAAAACTCAAGCAACAAAGTAAGGAAAACAAATTTTAATCAAGAAATAGTAACAGCTCTTACCATCCTTGGACTAGGATGAAAATTAAAACTATTCATTCCTCCATTCCGCATGTGTTTTTTAATGGCCCGGCCATTTGCTTGCTTCCGCATGTAGCTGTTCTTTTCTGACCCTTCACAAGCAAGAACTAGTAAAGGCTAGTCAAGGAATGCATAAATGATTTCCCTTTGTAAAAGTGGCATAGCAAAGATAGGTTATGGAAGAATCAATAAGAAGTGCATAAATGAAGCAAGCTAAAGGATATCTACTCGACCATTGTTTTTCCTTCCTGTTCTTCCCATGCGTTGAATCATCCTCAGAGGGGATACATTGGCGTCAAAACATATAACTAGGTCGACTTCCATGATATCCAAGCCTTCTTCCCCAATAGATGTTGCAACAATAACATTGAACCCACCAGATCTAAATTTCTGTATGACAAAAATAAGTAAATCAATCAAGAAATGGTTAAAAAAAAAACAAACAAAAGTTCAAATATTCATACAAATAGATAAAGGGAAACAGACATACCTCTAAGACAGCCTGCTGAACCTTTTGCGACTGCCCTTTCAGCGTCTTACCTGCAAGGAACATACATTGTAACAATTATAAATGATACTTCTGTGTACCTGAAAATTTTAGATGTAAACATCAGAGTCACAAACCTGAACTTTGACCAATAAACTCAGTTGCTTTGACCACATCGCTAATATTACTTAATGCGTCCATTATGTCTCTGGAGATACATGAGGTCAGATGAATGCAAAGAAGAAACCTGATGGGCAAGATCACAAACAACAACTATACAGACCTTACGCTTCCTCTGAAATTTGAGAAAATAATGACCCGTGATGTCCTTGGATCTTTCATTTCTGCAGCAATGGAATAAGACTATATTAATGATCCATTGTAGATTAGCAGTGAGAACTAACATCAACCCAACATCAAATTTCAAACAGCAAAACCTACTGTAATGATCAACAAGTATTTCCAACATCTTCGACAACTTTGGGCTTGGTGCTCCGTTCGACAACCTTTGCTGCATCAGAAGCTTCGTCATCCTTATATCTTCATTCTTACTCATCAACCTAGCAAATGGCCTAAAAAGGGTGATAGTCTTAGAGAAACTTCTATGACAATGCCCTTGCTATCGAAAGCTATACTACCTAAGCCTGGTGAAACGCTATCAGGCAAATCAGTTCAACAGCAGAAAGTAAGAGCATACCCTTGCTGCAATTTCTCTTCTAGCATCTCATAAGCTGGCCTTATTCCATGACTAGAAAGGAGCTTACGAATGTGATAAAGAGTGATAAGAGCTGCAAAGCAAGATTCTACATCTCCATGACTTATATGGGGAATGCCTGGTAGAGGTGCTTCACGAAACTTATCCCTTGCCATAAGTAACTCGTGTGGACTTAACTGTAAAAACACGAGTTGACGTTTGCGTAGATAAGAAAATGTGAGCATTTGACGCTAGTGGTGAAAAAAAGCAAATAGTATAAGGATTGAGACACGTACAGTTTGATAATCCCTTCTTAGACTAACCCCGAAGTTTTTAAGCCTAGATGCATATGGACGTATAACATCTAACAGACGTTTAGATACCTCATCTGCATCTTTTCCCAAGGGAACCTGCTCTGCCATAAAAATGTTACAAATATTAGAGATGAATTTGGAGAGCAGCAGATTTGGAAAAAATGTAGAAAACCATCTTAAACCTCGATTAGTTCTACTTTTCTGTCGTGGACATAAGGGCAAACATCATGGTCACTCTCATTTCGATATTCGAGTGTTGATATCTGCAAATTATCAATGATACCCTGAATTCCCTGCGTCTTTGCTAAAAAATAACATCTCCGGTTAATAATGAGCGAGGAGATATAAAAACCTCAACAACAAAAATGTCAATCACTTACATCCAGGAGTTGCAGTAAGGGCCAATATTCTCAACTGTACTGGAACCGCCATCAACTAAAATTCAAAGTGCATTAATTGGTACCTCACGAACACATAAAGATGCTCCACAAGCGAAGGCAAGTTACGAAAAAGTCTGAACATGTAAGTGAACAACAAACCTCACGAACTACAACAGAATAAGAATAATTCCCTAAAGCTCGATGGGCCTCGTCGACCACCAAGCAAACCAAGTAATTAGTAAGACACGTTCCTGAAAGCGACGGTTTTTGGGATAAGTATCAATACATTAAGAGGTTTCAGCTCGGAAATTCTATAGAGACATCCCGAGAATCACCTGACTGTATATCTTTCTCTAGCACTTGTGGAGTGACAAAGAAAACACGCTTGCTTTTCCACAAGAAGGCTCTTTTCGAAGGGCATGTCTGACCCGTTAAGTCAATAGTCCATTCCTACAGTCAATCCAAGCCACATTTCTCAAAAAAATCTCTAAGAAACTTATCAAATTTATGAACTGAACACATTCTTAATCTCTAAAGTAGGTAACACAACAGGTCGTTTGTATAGATTTTCAGACAGAAAAAAATCACATACTTGTGGTATCCCCACGATATTATGACATGCCTCAATCCGCTGCATCACAAGAGGCCGAGACGGTGCCGCAAAGACGATTTTACCTTAGCAAAATAATAAGAACAGATTCTTAAAATCAAGAGATTGTCCAGAGATATTTCATGGAGACAGAAGTGGGAAGCAGAGGTTTTTATTACCTTCGGGAAACCATCTGAAGTAATTATACATTACAACTGCAGCTATAAGCGTTTTACCAAGTCCCGTAGGCAAAGCCACCAGTGTGTTTGAAAACAAAGCAGTCTTCGTTATAGCAAACTGATAATCTCTTAAGGGAACATTCACTGAAATCAAAAGTGCAAAGAACCAACCGTAAGTTATGCCAATTTCTATAGACAACCAAAAAGGGGGAAATTTTGATTTGAACACAAACTCCTCAAACCTGGGTAAATCCAAGTTTTTGCTGTCTCAGGATCAATCCCAACGCAGGGGCTCTTGTCGTTATTACCACACTCGAATTCATCGAAACTCGGTTCGGAAACAACTTGATTCTCCGGCGGAGGAGGTTTGTGCTCGGTTCTTCCGATGAATTTATCGAGAGTAGATTGTCTTTAAGCAGGAGGAGGCTTATAAGTGACATTGTCCTTTGTAATTGGTTGATGAGCGGAAGGATCGAAATGGGTCCAAGAAGAAGAAGAGGAAGAAGCGTTTGAGACTCGTTTCAGGCAAGCCAAGTCGATTTCTTTGACTGCTGCTTCCCAATCGAACTACAAAATCAAAAATCGAGACAATAAAAACAAACCCTTGAGATAACGAAATCCTGATAACCCAGAAAGAGATTCAGTGGTGAATTTTGCAACTTACTCCGTCTTCTTCCACGATTTCTATCGGAACCTCGGATCCCATTTCCGGGAAATCACTTGATTTTTCTGTCAGAATTTTGTTGGTCTAGATCCGAAATCCCTTTTCTTTCACGATTTTCACATGAGATAGTATAGGCACCGATTCTCGGAATCAGATTTCAGGTTCAGTGGTTTTGTGGTTCTTGGTGGAAGAAACCCTCGCCGAAGCGAAACAATGGCTGGCTTACCCTTCTGGTTCAAAAGAACCCGATTACCCTCGTTATAAAAATCATATATTTATCTAATTATTTTAATACCAAATTTTATTGATTTATTTTACTCTTCTTTTTAATTTTAATTAATTACAAATCCAATCATTGTTCAATTGGATCTAGTCCACCTATAAGAAATTCAAACCCGAAATCAATCCAATTCCGACAACTTGGATCGATTAAAACCTTCAAAATCTTACACTCTTTTCAGTTTTCAGTTCAAACCATCGGGTACAAAACTGAACAGACACGATCCTCGCTAAATTCAAGTTAGTTGACGGAGCATTCGTCTTAATATTCGCCAGTTTCGTATCATCTTCCTCCTCTTTCTCCTCTGAATTCCTTCTCCTCCTCTTCTCTTCCCCATTTAATCACTTTACTCTCTGAATTCTTCAACTCTCACTATCCTCTTTCGCTGAATTCCAAGCGAGATAACAATAACGTCTAAAGGTATGTTGAATTCCGGAATTTTCCTATTGTTTCCCCTCTAATATGTTGATCGAGAAGAGACATGAATTAAGGAAATATATAAACTGGATTTTCTTTTGCAATTCAATAATTTTCATTATCATGGACTCTGATTTTATTTACCCATCGGCTTCTGTCTATTGATGCCTTAATAGTTACGAACTTCTTGTGCGATTGTAGGAGTAAGTGTGGATCCGTCAAGAACAAGAAGCAAGCAGCATCAGAATCTTGGTGAAGGAAGCAGCCTCAGAACTAGATTGGTCAGAACCATGACGAACTCTGATGATGAGGAGAACCCTACGGTATGTAGTTAGATGATATATTGTTTAAACAAGTATGTAGTACGTTGTAAAACTTTTTGAAAGTCATAGAATTTCTAAAAACAAAAGTAACACTTGGTAAAACTTGAATCAGTTGCTCATAGTATTTCTAAAAATTAAAGTAACACTTGGTAAAACTTGAATCAGTTGCAGGATTCGATTGAAACGGAACCAATGCAACCTATGCGGATGTACTTTAATCCGACTGAGTACAAGAAACAGGTGAAGATATCGACCAGGTGTTACATTCACAAGGTGGTTAATATGATAAATTCTTTGAATCTTACCATTGAAGAGAGGAATTGGTTTCACAACCACCCACAATTCAAGCATTTCTTCCATATATATGACGACTCAAACCACAAGGTTATGGGCATGTGGATGCTCCTGCTTCGAACATCTGAAGTTGAGAAGAGAAGGGAGGCTTGGTTCATTGTGAATGGCGTCCCAATTAGGTATTCTCTCAAAGAACACGCTCTGATTTCTGGATTAGATTGTCATCTCTATCCAGAAAACTATAGCCAACTGGGGGGTATGAAATTCGCTGAAAGACAGTTTGGCAGAGGAACAACAATCACTTATGCAAAAGTGCATGAAAAGCTGTTGAAGATGAAGAAACCACATCCAGATAGGTTGAAGATGTGTGTGTTGTACTTCCTATGTAGCGTCATAGTAGGGAAGGAAAAAACTGGAGCGGGAGCACCCTCAGTTGAGAAGTTCTTCATAAGAGATGTGGATGATCTTGAGCTTTGTAAGACTTTTCCTTGGGGGAGATTCTCGTTTGATGAGAATTTGAAAGATATCCAGAAAGCAATGGTTGATTATAAAGGGGTCGTCGATAGAACATGCAAGTTTCCAAGTTTTTGTACTTCTTTGGAGGTAAAGATTATTCATTGCATCTTTATTCGCTTATTTCTTATTATTAATTGAGATATATTGTCTAAGTATCGAATTATATGTATTATGTGCAGATGCTAGCCTTTGAGGTAATTCCAGTCTTGAAGAAGACTTTTCGAGAAGACCATAGAGGCGCAGAGAAGAGCTGCCCTCGCATGTGTAAGAGCAAGTTCAAGTCATATGCTATGAAAGGATTTCCTCTTTCGGAAATATATGAAGCACTTGGTAAAACTAAGGTTAGAAATTTAAACTTAGTTATCGTTTGCAAATTGATGATTTATGTTTAATCTACACTAGAAATCTAAACTTTATTGTACTTACAGGATATTCATAGTGTGTTAGTCACATCTGCTGAAGAGCAATCTCTTGTAGATGGAATATTGGAAGATGGAGATGAGGAGGATGTATATGATGTAGTCGTTGATGGTTGGATGAAGCTTATCTCTAAAGACAAAGCGATTTGTTTTCAGAAAATATACAATAATGACATGACTTTCCGAGAAGAAGAGGAAGGTGAGGAGCATGTGGAACCGCTGGAGGTAGAGAACGAGGAAAATGCAACCAAGGAAAAGTGCAAGAAGAAGAAAGATGTATTCGAGTATGAGGAGAATCCGGCCAAGTTCATCCATGGGGAGAATGCAGCCACTATTAGTATGGTAGTTAGGCTGGAGCTTGCGATGGACAAGGGGTTCAAAGAGATCAAGGAGAAGATTGGAGAATTTAGCACAAGACTTGTAGCAGTGGAAGAATATGTGAAGGAACAATTAGAGGGGAGGAGGTCATTTGAAGACATGGATAACCAGTATAATGAACCTGAAAAAGTGGTGGAGAAATCTCAAGTTGGAGAAGCCTTAGGCAAGGAGAAGGTAACACTTTGACTTGAGATTAGAAAACAAAAAGTAGTATTTGGTAACACTAGTATAACTAAGTGTTTTTGCTTTGCAGGTGAAATCTGTTGAAGAGCAAACACAGGAGACGTCGATAACTACTCTGTCTGCAGAACCAGCAGCAACTCTGGAAACAGGTGTTGTGGTTACGGATGAAGAGGAGAAGGTAACACTTTGATTTGAGTTTGAAAACAAAAAGTAGTATTTGGTAACACTAGTATAACTATGTGTTTTTGCTTTGCATGCTAAATCTGCTGAAGAGACACCACAGGAGACTTGTCAAATAGCAGAGGAGGAGACGACGATGGTTACTCCGTCTGAAGATCCAGCAACAACTCTGGAAACAGGTGTTGTGGTTACGGATGAAGAGGAGAAGGTAACACTTTGATTTGAGATTAGAAAACAAAAAGTAGTATTTGGTAACACTAGTATAACTATGTGTTTTTGCTTTGCAGTCGAAATCTGCTGAAGAGACACCAAAGGAGACTTCTGATAGGGTCAATGTTTTACCCAAATAAAACTACTGCAAGTGCATAGCAAAAGCAGATGTAGTATAAGGGGTATCGAAATCCCAAGAGAGTAATGCAGACTACACTATCGAATATAGATTCGGACTAAGCTAAGCAAAATATGATGTATGTAATGCGAATGAATAAATGAAAGTAAGCAAACGAATGTGTGAAGTTATCTAAGTTCAAGAAGATTAAAAGCGCTAAGCCAGGGTAATTCGCAGGTTTGAATCCAAGAATGTATGATGCAGGAAATCAGGAATGATTAAGAACCGTTTTAAACATGAATCTCTAATGCATAACTAATCAATTCTCATTGCAAAAGTTATCTATACCTAGATCACAGAGTTTCAAATCTCTTTGTAAACCCTAACAACCTAAGCATGCAGGAATGATCAGATTCAGTTGTTTACAAAACTCCTAAGCCAAATCTCTTTGTACTAAGTTGTTTTGCTCATCAAATACTAGTTCAGGTTATGAATAATGCTCTCACATATATTTAACAACCTATGATTTTCGGATTCCTAGATGATGTGTCTCAGAAATTCGATTTTAAAGCAAGCAGAGATGAAAAACCATAAGATATTCCTAACAGATAGCGATTCTACAATCTTTTCATCAACCTTTGAAAAACCCTAACTTAACTAGCAGATTACTCAGACATGATTATGAGATCACAAAACATAACTGAATAAAATTGCATTAAGAGAAAGAGTAAGAAACAAAAGGGGGTTCGAAATCTTCTCAAAAGAGTACAGGATTTGTCTTCCCAAAAAGCTCTGAATAAATCTCTCTCTAGCTCTCTGAATTCTCTAAAACTAAGATAATAGCCAACAATGGCTGAAAAACCTAATAAATAGAAGCTAAACACGATCTGGGGTCTTCATGTAAATAAAGGAAACTTCTGGGCCAATTTTGCAATTCTTCTTGATACTTTTAATAAAACGCCACGCTCCTTCCTTAGTGGGTGACGAGCGTCACTAAAGGGGTGACGATCGTCACCATTTGTGAATACTTTCTGCTTCGAGCTTGGTACTTCGTGGCTTCCACTCAGAATGCTCCAAAAGGTTCCAAAATCTCCAATTATGCTCCAGACATGCTATAAACTGCAAAGACTCTTCTAGGACTCTAAAAATACCAAAAAGACTCAATAAAAAGGACTTATATCATAGTTAAAAACCATAAAAACCATGATATATCAACTCCCCCAGACTTAGCTTTTGCTTGCCCTCAAGCAAACATTAGACAAAGAATAAGGTCGAGGTTTGAAAACAAGAAACAGTCAGTCAGTCATCAGAAACACCACACTAGTTAAAGCTTTCGAATCCACATACCACAGAGTCAGCACAAGATCAAATTTCAGCCTAATCATCACAAGCTTAGCAAATCTCTCAAGTCCAGCCTAAATCTCTTCAAGAAATCCGAAATTTCTACTGTCAACTCCTTATTTTTTTATCTAAGTATGAAGTCTCATCAAAGCTCTATCATCTTAATCACTTTACAGATTCTTTTCCCTTCCCAACAACTGAACAAATCAATCTCAACACAGCTCTCCTATTTTCTCTTCCCTTAATCTTTTTCCTTAGGATATTTTCGATTTTTCACTTCTTTTTCTCAACTTTTTCAGTCTAAGAAATGGTGCTACTCAATACTTGTGTTCCTTGTGAGGAGACAGGTTCTTGAGTGTGTTCACTACTGTTGTTCCTTGTGAGGAGACAGGGTCATGAATGCACCATTCTTTGAACTTAAACTTTTAAAAACTACATCAGGGAAGATCAAAGAGATACTGTATCTTAACCTTATTGTCAGTGCTTAAAGAGAGAATCAAGATCAATAAGAATCAATCACCAAGACAAGAAATTTAAAGTTCATTAAGGTGGAGCTAACAGCAAATTTTCCAGATTCTCTAAGAACATAAACCTTC